CCCCCCCCCCCCCCCCCCCCCGCCATGGATAAGAGTCAGATCATAGGTACGTCCCTACCCCCCTACAATAAAATTTTACCCCATAGAAACTAACTTTAGATTATTTCAAATATTCAATTATTTAATATTTAACTTTTTCTGTGTTAACATTGCCTCATCCATAAAACACGAGGAGGGTTGGGAAAATTAATTAGAGACAGCCATTCATGCAAACCAGAGATGTAGCTGAGGGTTTGCCTAACTTTCGAGAATTCTCCCAGTCCCCGAGTATTTAGAAGAGGCTATGTAAACATGGAAAATTATAGTGCAGTAGTGCTATTATATAATAAATCTCAAAAATATGCGCGAATCTAAAATGTCACAACTGTGTTTACGTACTTTTTTCTAAACACACCTATCAACCAATGCGATTGTGCATAGAAGCTCAGTTATTTTATAAAATTAAATTTAGCATAATTTCTTTTAAGTATACTGAAATAATTTTCTGTTACAGCATGATCTTTGCGGTGGATTACTGCTCCTTAGTCATTCCTGTTTTCCTGGCATTCACGGTACTCGCTGATCACATAAATTCATTGATTATAACCTGTTTGTGTATGTCTATGGGAATGCTACTTCTGCAATCAATGAAGAACAACAAAGTACAGAGTCAGCATTTCCGATCCCTCTCATCTGCTGACATGTCAAGGAAACGGCCCTTCATTGCATGCTTTAGAGCATATGTTCTGATTACAACAGCCATTGCCATACTTGCCGTGGATTTTGTCATCTTCCCTCGACGTTTTGCCAAAGCTGAAACCTATGGAAGTGGGTTGATGGATATGGGAGTTGGGGCATTTATAATTTCCAATGCCATTGTTTCTCCAGAAGCAAGAGACATTTACTCAAGTGATACTGGTTTTATTTCAGCGGTCTTCAGGTCTTTAAAGTCGTCTTTGCCGCTACTAGTGCTTGGTGTCATGCGGTTTTTATCTGTGAAAGGTACAGATTATCAAGAACATGCTAGCGAGTATGGCACTCACTGGAACTTTTTCTTCACATTATTTGTTGTGAGGGTGAGTGAAAATGCTCTGACACTTATTTTCCTTTAAATTTGGTTGTCAGCCTGTCAGCTCATCAACCCAGTGCTGAACTCTGGATGTTCAGCAGTGGCACTGGCTCTTTACGGGTGAAAGTAGGTAAGGAAAAAGGATTCCCATTTCCTCGCCTTCTTTCTTGCCATGCAAAGAGCCTGCAAAGAACTCTCCCC